GTGGTGAGGAGGGGTGTCAGGGGGTGGGGGAGGGTGAGTGGGGGATAGAGGAGGGTGGATGGGGGGTGGAGGAGGAGGAGACAGGGGGTGAGGAGGTAGAGGGGAGTATTCTTATCTGTAAGTTGTAGATAGCTGCTGGCGGTTTGAATGACATCACGATCAACTCTGGATATCACTTTATAAAATTGTAATGCAGCCTGGTGACCTTCAACCCTCTTAATCTCGTCGACTTAATAACATACAGCTGACTCTGTATCTCTCCAGAGTGGTGTACCAGAAAACTTTTAAACACCCAGACGACTACATTAATTTCAAGCTACCTACTTCGCAAGTTTCTATCTTAATGTAGGCTGCAGACTGGTTCAGAATATGCCTGTAGAAGGTGGCATTGAACAGATTCTGTACTGCGTAGGTAGCGTTTTAGTGTGCGCTTCTAGTAATACTCAAATTACAACAGATTTATCCTACTCGCTAGCAGTTCTAAGCTGCCAGTTTGATGGTAGAATAAGCGCTTATGCTGACCAATGTATGCCGTGTTAGTAGAGTATGTCGGGACAAGTGTCCGTCTCCGCTCTTCTCGAACAACGTATGCGAGTGAATATGCAGAAAGAAAACCTGGGGGAATGCGGACCTCGGTGTTTCGCGCAGAGAGTGATGAGGTGGAACGCGCTGCGAAAACAGAGATGGCCATCGCGGATTCTCGGGGTCCGATCCGCTCGAGAAAGGTAGCCTAAGGCAAGCAGACCGTGGAACCAAGGTTATGAAGAGTGTGCCGAAAAGCCGACATTCGTCAAATAGCTCACTGACTACGGAGTACCCGGGAGGTATTTGTGGTGTTTGGGATAACCAAAGTGCAACGTAGGACTTAGCGAATACCTCAAGGCTACGTTTTGCTGTTCCAAGGTTGTCTTGTAAAAAGGCGAACATCTCCGTCCTGCAGTCCCACATAAATCTTAGAGAACAAATCATGTATACCCCATTTCTATAAATCTCTGAGTCATATGATATATGGTAGAGTTCGTGAAACTGAGCATCCGTCATTGGTCCGATACGAAGGGCTCGACCAAACTACACTCTACGCTACTGCTCTCTCTACCCCTATAAAAGAGAACCCAAATCCTCTGTCTATGTCCAAATTCCTGTCATCTTCCCAACACAACACACCACGAATACCTCCTGGGTCTCCTTTCGCGAAGACTTCTGCAACCAAAAGCACACACGTATTCCTCAAAACCACATCACCTTTTCCACATCAGCACACCACGAATACCTCCTGGGTCGCTTTTCGCTGAGACTTCTGCCACCAAAGACCTTCGCGTATTCCTCAAAGCGACAATGGCCGAACGCAAGACCGTCCAGAAGTACTATCCCGCCGACTTTGACCCAGCAAAACTAGTGCGCTCAAAGAAATCTTCAACTCCCACGCGCACCGTCGTCAACTTCGCCTGCCCTTTCCGCAGCATGCGATGTCTCTCATGTGGCCACTACACCACCAAAGGCAAAGTCTTCCGCAACAGCCCAAAACACATCTCGCCAGAAAATTACCTTGGTGTCAAAATCATCACTCTGCACTGCAAGTGCCCTGGCTGCGCCGCACAAATCATCATCGAAACCGACCCCAAGAACATGGACTACAAGATTGTGAGCGGGGCGAAGAGGGAATACGAAGCGTGGAGAGATAATGAGCGCGCCAAAGATACTGAAGAGCAGCGCTTAAATCGTCTTGAAGCTGAGGGACTTGAAGGAGGTGAAGACAAAGCGACTATGGAGACGCTGGAGCGCAAGACTGAGGACGCCAAGGTCGAGATTGCTGTCGCTGATGCGTTGGATGAGATCAGAGCGGCGAACGCACGAAGAGAAGGGATTGATGCGACATTCGCCGCGGCTACTCTTGCGCCATCGAGGGAGGTTGAGGATGCGCAAGATGCGGAGATCGCACGCGCTGTCTTCAAGGGTGCGAAGAGATGTTCGCCGGAGTCTGAATTGTCGCGAGAGTCGCTGAATGTGGAGTTCCCGGTGTCCAGGCCGGCGAAGAAGGCCAAGAAGGATTTTGCGAAGACGTTGGGGATTAGGAGGAAGATGGATGTCTAAGGTCTTAGATGGTTTATTGACATGTCCCCATAAGAACTCCTGGCTATTCAATACTATCCGATGCTGCAAATAAATCTTGGTGAACATGTTTAACATACACTCCTCAAATAGTGGTGTTGTTCGGAATGTAGACGTATCGATTGTGGTCTCGTACAATTCGCCATAACATGTTCCGCTCGTTTGGTATTTCTTTCCATATGTAATACTTGAGTCGGCAGGATCGTTCAAACTTATAGCCAGGTTCAAATGGCTTCCAAAGTAAGAGTCGACACCACGGTATTGGGTCATTCGGTATCATTCCCAATCTATCACGAGTAACTCTCGAAGTTCCATAGCGCAGATCGATTGGAGTCAAGGGCGCAATCTTGAGTATATGATGGCGAACAGATCTTGGGTTGATCTGGCTTGTACCACCGTCGAGTTGTGGGAGCCAATTAGCTGCCGTGCGAATGCAATCTTTTCTAACAAAATAATCGTTCCTCTTTCTGTGTAGGTCCATGTCATTAAATGCGAGCGCGACCTGCTTAGTGAGTAGCTCGAGCAGAATGTCTTGCGGGTGCATGGAGTAATCAGGGTATAGTCGGAGCGACGGATGGAGCATACCCATCATACCAAACACTCGATCTCGCAGATTCTGGCATTCAGTACCCTGGAGCAATCGCCTAACAGAATTCCAATCCTTGGCTGCATCACCTCGGTTCAAGTGGATCTGGTGTATTCGGAACAACCCTTTGCCTTCTTTGGTTTCCATGTCTTCAAACTTTTCCACATCATGTAGACCATTCCAGGCCTTCTCTAATCTTAGCCAGCCCTGGTAGAAGGTGTCCCAAGAGAGTGTCCTCGGGCCAATGTGTATTTGCACAACTCTGCCAAGCACGATCTCTTGAGTAATCCAAAGTCTTGACCAGTACGGAAGACTTACAAACTGGCGCAAAGATGGAATCAACGTATGCAGTTCCTGTTCACTCACACTGATCTTTGGCGGTGGAGACTGACGGGAAAGGACACTCTCATAGATGATCAAGTCCACGAGCTCGTTGCTTCCATCGAATCCGGAACCTAGCCAGGCCTCGACGACGGAGGCTACGTCATAGATATCTGCCATCTGGTTGACCTGGTGGCCCTTTTCGTCATTCTGTCCTTGGTTGATGCATATTTGGTCAATCCAAAACGAAGTCGAGCCAAGGCCTTGCCTCGTCTCCAGGAAGTCGTCGACGCTCTGCCGAACAAAGAGCCAGTCTCGTCTGATCTTCAAGAACTCGTAGAGATTTTGGCGAATTGAAAGCCAGCCTTGGCATTCCGAACTTGTGACAAGTATATCTTGTGCTGGCAACTCAGGACCCCAAGTATAGGACACCGCGACAAAACCGATCGTTCCTTGCAAGCAAGCGTTATACGTAGGGCTATCTCGTATTGCGCTGGCGTTGCCATGGAGAGCCTCCCACCGAGCTAACTCTATGCGATGGCGAGTGAGTGCGTCACTGTGTTCACTGAAATCGACGTTCTTAATAGTGATGTGAATAGGACTCGACGGGTCGGTGGTTGGTTCGATCGTTATGAGGCGTATCTCCTTGTCTTTAAAATTCAGTGGAGTGTGCGTATAGCGCACATCCTTCGATGGCAGCTCCATCGCTGCGATAAGACTGTGCGCGAATGTTCGTTAGGCTGTCAAAGAAGGCATGGGCTTTCGTGATGAGCGTCCCGCACAAATGTAGACGCGATCTGGGGTGCAAAACGACTTGTAACGGCTGCGACCCTCATGCTGTAGAGAAGATCAAAGGTTTTGCGATGTTTTGCAGCATCGAGGCGGAGTAGGAGGCTGAGCGCTTTTGGGTAGCCTGAGGCGCGAAAGTGGCTGGCCTAAACATGCTTCAGGTGGTGGGCGATGCGCGCTTGCGGGTTCATAACTGGAAAGTTAATTTGACGCCCTCATAGGGTAACATGCGTTTGTGCGTAAATTAATTACTGTAACAAACATGATACTCATATTCCCTACGCGATAACGATGCACCGATGCGCAAGTCGTTTGCTGTTATGGAGAAAGGTGCAGCTTGCGGCAAGAATCTCAGTGTTTACCGGTCACAGAAACTAGGCCGAATGGGGCTTAGCGGCTGATGCTTTGGAAAGAACGAGCGTGTTCACACATCCAGCTCAGAAAATAAACACCATCGAGGTCAAGAAACGCAGATATATAGCAAAGAGTATTTTCGTCTATCCAATGCGAATTGCATCGAGTTGAACTGTCATTGCCACTTGCCAGAACTTAGTGCATATCTTCACATGCAGACTGTGAGCTCACCATCCTCACAAACATTCGAGGTCTGCTAAACCCCCTTCCCTTTCCACATCTCTCTCATCATCTCATTGTATGCATACGCGAAACCCCTTCCATCCCTATACTGTACGTACCGTGCGCTGTAAGCGATCAATCACCCAAGTGAACGACTCTCACTACCCCCCACACACCGGTAACACAACATCGACCCTCGCCTCTCAAGCTCCCTAACACAACATAAATTCTCCGACGCAAGCACCGCAGGCACTGCAAGCACCCCCATCGCATCCCTCGCGTCGTGTGACCAAAGACTCGACAGCAAAAGCCCGGTCTGAGCCGGGTACTTACACCGTGAGCTGCATGGCCGGTGGGTGCCTGGTGCTTCTGGGGCGAAGAGAACGCATGGATGTAAGGTGCAAAGTGCAAGGTGCCGATGCAGGAAGGGAACTGAGCTTCGAAGAGCTTGGGCTTTGGGCTTTGCGTTGATGATGTGCTTTTGTGACGGATGAAATGTTGGGCGTAGATGCGGACCCGATGACGAAATGTTGGAGTAGGCCTTGTCGACGCGTTCGGACTCACGATGCGATGACGAGGCTGAGCTCGTTCTCCCGGGTCCTGGCCCGTACAGCACAATGATAAGAGTCATACCTTACCGACAAACCTTCAGACTATTGCTGCCCAAGACCCGATCTCCGCCCAAACATCCCTTCTTCCTCTTCTTCCTCTCCTTCCTCCGCTACAGACGCAGGAAGCCGACCGTAGAATATACTCGGATACATGCCTGCGAGCTCCCACAGCCATGAGTCCGCCTCGCTAGCCCACCGCAGATCCATGTTTCCTCGCTGCATCCTCGTTTTCCTTCGTACGAGCTCGCGGGACCGGTTGCTAGCTCCCTATGCCATGCCATGCGGGCATCCCAGCGTCGGGCATCGCCTACGTGCGTTCTATATGCGTTCTGCCTAGGAGGCGAAGTCGACGATAATAGCGTTCCGAAGTCTGGATATCGCGCTACCTGGTTCATGCATGTTCGCAGCAAGGTTTGGAGAGGGAAAGAACATCGTAGCGTATGACGCGTGAAGAGAACCGTGGAAGGAAAAGAAGACAAGTCGTCGTCTAAAGCGCTGGGCACCTACCAGCCAGTGGGCTGTCCCGGACGCTCTTCTCGTATGCCCAATGACCTGTGCTCATGGGCTGATCATGCAGCTTCGCGTGGGATGCCGGCGAGATGGCACACTACAGGTAAACCTTGCTAATTGGGGGTGTGCAAAAGGCAACCATGGTCGATCGTGAACGTTCGCCTTTGTTAGTACGACGCCAAAGTGGGAAAAGCATAGACAGAGGCTCAGCTGTCACGCCGTTGGAACTGGTACAGCGCACGGAGAGGCTGAGCAGCGAAACGCTCTGGGCAACTGTCGGAGACCGCCTAGTTGCATATGCGCCCTTCGGAACGCCTACCCGCTGTCAGTCTTACGCCTGTCCTTCTTGTGTACACGGCCGGGTGTGAGTGTGCTGTTGTAGCTTGCCGTGAGGAATGTGTGACTGTGAACACCTTTTCTCGGGCCGGTCGTACGTGTACGGGAAGCCGCTTGTGTCTTGGGCGGAAACACGGGAGCAGAGGCATGTCCAATTGTTCGTATGGCGGATGCAGCAAACTCAAACGCAGTGATACGCTCGTAGATGGGGATGTCTGCAGGTGGCTAGATGGGGACCATCGTTGTGTTACTTGCGTTGTCCAAGGGAGCCCGTTACAGTAAGGAGCGTTCCGAAGCATTGGACTGGGCGAACACATGTCGAGAAGCGGCGCAATGCTGTACCACTTGTGGGGATATCGTGCTAGCATTGAGCAACGATCTGATCATGTTGTGGAAGGTTTCTCGCAAGTGGCTGATGAGGCAGACTTGGGTGGCTATCGTGCAACCATGCAGCGCCATTGCATGTTCTTTGTGCGACTGACAAAGTTTGGCATCGCCCTAGGAGGAGAAGAAAACATGCGGAGATGCTCGCCAGTACGGAGATATTGGGGATCAGTGACTTGGAGATGTATTTCCGGTGTCCACGAACGAAAGTGCACTGGTGATGGAAGGTTTTGGGTTCATGACTTGGAGCGACGTCTTTGCTGGTCTGGCCCGATGAACGCCCAAAGTACTGTCGATGTGCAGTGCCACAGATAACCGCATCGGCATGGAGGCATGCTTTTGAGATGTCTGCCTGGAAGAAGGGTCGATCACGTTGAAATGGACGTGCATAGCTAAAGGAACGAAGAGATTCCAGGCATCAGGTTCCAGCAACACAGCACAGACTGGTACCCGCAAGGTGGATGTCAATCGACAGACCCGACAGTCTGTTGTAAGACGGAACAGTGACACCGACAAACAACAAGCCACGAAGCTTACTGCGCGCAAGGTCCGCTCCTTACTTTGAGGCCTCAGATCGGCAATCCCTACGCAGAAGTAAGTATCCGGTGTGTGGTTTACCGAACCCGTTCGTCTATCTGTGACGCCGCACCTGGCATGTCACATGCTCACAAAGCGAAAGCGAGATCGCGCCTAAGCAGAAGCCAATTCGAGGTACCTTCGGGGCGCACGAAAAAGCATGCTTCTGGGGTGCGTACGGGTGTCGGAAGAAAGAAAGAATTGATGCAAGTACGGTATACGGTAGCAAGGAATGCCTCAGGCAAGTGTTGGCGAACAGCCACAATATTCATGAGCCGAGGGACGATGTCATC